AAGTCAAAAATGTGTATATCACATTTTTGACAGGACTCATCATGCCATGACTCAAGAAGAAAATAAACACAAAAAGAAATGTGATCGTAGATCATGTGCATTAAAGAAAGTGATGACTTAAATAAGTCATCGCTAACAAGTTTACATGTGGAAGTAGGTATCTGAATATCACTTTCGTACAACCGTCTTTTGTGAATAGAATCTTACGAAAAAGAGCAACATGCCTTACAACTTAGTATAATATCAAACGAAGGTACGAGAAAAGATTATGAGAGCATGGATACCGATGAGCTAATAGCAAGAAATACAAGTTCGACCACATGTGCTCCGGATCAAAGGTTGAATATCAAATTTGAATCTGAAGAAGGTGGTGTATCATCAGATTCAGAATCCTCTATCAACAATGAAGTTGATGAGACTGAACAATTGTTCAATCAGAAGAAAGCAAAAAGTCTTTTAAATGATGTTTTTTCTGTACTTGGCATTTCTCCAGTGTCAGATATGTAAGTGACTTATGAAGTTCTTATTAAAAGAAAAAAAGAAATTTTACTTGCAGACGAAATACCAATATTTTGCAACAAAAAGTGACCACAGCGATCGAGTTGATTTGGCGAGCAGCTGATGATATTTTGAAGACACCAAAAACTACATTAAAAGACTTCACAACATCTACTATAACTGTTGACGACACGAAACAATTACTAGATGGTTTAAAGCTTTTGTTTAAATCTAGTGATTATGATGAACAAATTCGTCTTCTAACTCTCGCTCCGTCTAATTGGGGGCGATTACAAATCCAAGATTTTTTTGCTTGTAACCAGTGGCAAGCTCATAAAGCACTTTTGTTGAGAAGTTCTTATGGACATTTGGCAAGAGTAACTAATTTTGATGGAAATCAGTCTATGGATCCACGACTTATTCATGAAATTAAAAGGTTTTACGAAGATGATGGAATAAGCCGTCAGTCGTCAAATAAAAAAGACGTGATACATGTTAACAAACAGCCAATCTCTATTCGATATATGTATATGACTGTTGGGCAAGCGTACATTTTATTTATGCAGAAGCTTACCGAAAGAAATTCATTGGAATCCGTATGCAAAACTGTTTTCTATTCTCTACGTCCGAAATGGGTTAAAATTCTAACACCTCATGATGTATGTGAATGCATTTATCACGCAAACTTCGATTTTTTGATAAAGGTACATATTTAAGTTTATCAAAATAATTTCATGTAGATTTATATTTAACAGGCATGGAATAGGCTAGGTTTATTGATAATCGATCACAAGAAGATCATTGCTGAAACAATTTGCCAGCAGCCAGTCGAACAATGTTATTTTGGTGAATGCAGAGCGTGTAAGTTTGTAGTAGATAATGAAAATTTTTGTTTTTGTTCTGCTATCCTAATAAGATCAAGTTTTATCAAATGTCATCTTACTCTATCAGAATATGAGACAATATATTATCTCTGCTATTCTTTATTCTACATCCAATGAGAAGTGAATTGTATTTTGGTCTAAATTAAAATAATGAGAAATTTTTTTCTGATCGATTTAATGCCAGTGCCTTGAAACCAACATCATCAATCAGCGTCTAAAAAATGACAGTGTCAATAGAAGCTTATATAGTCTGAGTTTTTGGATTATTCTCGATTATTTTTACTACAGCTATCTGAGGTATAAAAAAACTATTTTTTTTTATTTCTGTCAAGATAATGTAATGTTAACTCATAATAAGCGCTTGACGAACTTTATATTACATTCAAAAAGATATACTAGTACTGAAAAATTAAATAATCAAACACAGTTAATAAATGTTTAATAGTAAAGAACACTCGAACTCATTGAAATATTATTGAAAATTCTTAATGAGCAAAATTATCAACGACAAATCTAACAGCAAAAGCAAATTAAATAAATATAGAAAAATGAAGAATAAACTTTTTGAGCAGTTTTCAATGCTTAATACAGTTCATGAGTATCTCTCACTATATTATTGAAATCAATCAAAACTTCGAAAATGATAGGATATGGATGTATGTTATACTAAAGTTCGATCCATACTGCTCATATGTATTGTGAATTTGATTAGATTTTGTGGCATGCATACATGGACAATATATATAGTAAAACATGGAAAAAATTCTGAATTAGACGTAGATTGATCTGTCTTCTTGTAATTGGTAACATTTAGAGATAAGATTATGACTGCGATTAAGAAGCATCACAGGGCTTTTACAAATCAAATTGTTGATTAATAATAATCTCAAAGCAAGATCCCTAGGACTTCTGCTATGCTAAACTGACGTTAAAATCAAGACTGTAGTGAGAAGACATCACTCTCCATTCTAGGGTGTTAAATATATCATGTTAATGTGTTTTAGGTAAAGATAACCTTCCGAGCAAATACCTTGAAGGTCTTCTTAATAATCAGGTCAGTCGATTTGATGAAGTATTTTGGATGACATGGTGCCCATCACAATCATCAACACAAAACGGTGGTGAAAATGATAATGCTAAGTCCACTAATAAAAAAATAGCGCTTCAACGAATCGAGGGTTCAGTGGATGACCTCTTCGAAGAAATTGACTTGCAATGACATAACTTTCTCAAACATAGATTTACGATTGATCAACAATTTGAATATATTAAACTAATAAAGCAAGAGGCGAGTGAACAAAATTCCATTGTCATCCAAATGGATTTTTCAGAAAATCACAATCTTCTAATTCAACACCAGGTGATGCAAGCTCATTGGACAGCTGCTCAGGCTGCAATATTTACAGCTGACGTCACGGTCAGCAAAGATAAACATCATAGTATAGCTATTATAAGTGACTATCTCTCGCATGATGTACAATTCGTCCATGCTGCTCAAGGTGTTATTGTTGATTATTTACGAGGTCTTCATCCGTCTGTGAAGCATTTCAATTACGTATCCGACGGTGCAGGTCAACATTTTAAAAACAATAAAAGTCTATTAAATCTTACTTATCATCAAAGTGATTTTGGTAGCCCTGCCTCCTGGACATTTAGTTCTACCGCTCATGGAAAAGGTCCAATGGATGGTATTGGGGCCACTATCAAGTATCAAGCAACGAGAAAAGTTCTCAGTGGCAAAGATGAAGACGCAATATTGACACCTGAACAACTTTACAAGTTCGCACAACAAGATTTGAAAATAAAGGTATTTTACATGGATAAAACAACAATCCAACAGAACACAGATTGTTACAAGTTGTTGAATCGATGAAAAGATGGCCGGGTTGAAGGTACAGTTTCACTTATATCTAAATATGTATCTCGATTTCAATGCATTTTATCGAAGGTTGGATAAATCAAATTCGAGCTCAACATCAGTTTGACCCTGTGATGGTCAAAAAAGTAGACTCTCGACGTGTCTCAACATCTTCTGTGAAACAAACCCACGAATTGAAATCCTAAAGTTTCAACTACACAAAATTTCTATTTTAGAAATATGATGACCTATCCACGATAAGATATTCTGCGTTAGAAAAATATCGATAATAATGTTTACAAAATGTTTCTTCCGAAGACTATTTTACATTTGAGCCATCCATTATATATTCTGGTAGAAGAACTTTTGAGTTGGATGAAGTATTTCATTGGATACTAATAGGGTTTAGTAGACGCTCGTATCTAAAGCTCTATTGAAAAATTTGTAAAAATGTAGCTCGAATACTTCTTGTTGTCTCATTAATTATATTTAAACATACTATATTCATGATTAACATACTATGCTCTATTAAATTTGAATTACTTCTATCTGCAACAAACATAATATTTTTTTGACCTTGCAAGGGAGCTCAATGTTTGATTCAATAGATTAGTGAATAGCACTACAAAATCTATTAGAAAATACATAACAATAACAGTTCATTGTTACAATAATGAAATAGATTTGAATTCTGTTAATAAACCCATTTTCAATCACGGTATATCTAATTTGAACAAAATTTTAAGTATGAGCAACATAAGTGTAGAATTAATGTCTGTTCACCAAGGCCCCATATAAAATAATTTTACCTAATTCAAAATACCTCATTCAATGTAGTTTTTAATGCTGATTCTGAATCTAAAGATGGTTTTATTGTTAATTGTAAAATATAAGAGCGAATAGTTGAACACTAGAAAATCTATAGTAAAAAAAATGTGAAAAAAGCAACATTTTTTTATTTTTTGTCCTAATTGCATAGCCAATGGTTCTCCCATAAAAAAGTTATTTATATAGGTCGATAGAGCAGAAGCTCCTCTATCGAACTATATACCAGGCTTTCTGCCAGAATTCCATTTTTGAAGCATATGGTAGGCAAACATTTTTGCATGTTTTAGGTATTTAGCGGTAAGGAACAGCCCTTAAAACTCCAATAAAAATAATTGGAAAAGTAGAAGGTCTTGAAGAATTTTTGATGCTCTACACGAATCTGAAGTTGAAATTTTGATTGGAAAAAGTATTTCGGTTCATATTCGCGGAAACAATAAAAACGATTACACTTAAATTTGAACAAAAATCAGAAAAGCATATTTTCGTATTTTGCGAATTTCTCTCTTGTTGTGTGGTCAATGCTAGACGTTTTGGTTACCAAAATGATCAGCGCAAAAGGTTCTATCGAATGATGCTATTTGAAGGCTAATCGAAGATACTTCATGTAACGGTGGTAGGAACCCCACGGAATTACCCGTCTTTTATCACATATAAGAACACTGTTTATTCGAAAGGGAAACTCTGATACAATCATTACAAATATCTATTGATGGTACTTAGGGCGTACAAGAAGTTCGTATCCTGCTATTTGAAGGACCCTATCGGATGGAGTGAACTGATTGAGAAGTAAGAAACAAACATATCATATTTTAGAGCTTTTCGAGGTGCATCGAATGGTATATACTAAATCCTATTTTCATAGAGCTTTGAAGGAACTAGAGCCAATTCACTGATAGATGATTACACATTTACACTCATCCATACTCTCGCCCACATTCACAAGATCACCGGAGATGGTACGCATATGATGTTGTAGCGTGTCAAAAACTCTACAAAGTCGCATGCGAGAAACAATATTTTACAAATTCTTGTAATTAATAACAAGAACTACAATAATCATTAACTTATGATCCTCGAGTATGGGTGTGAATGTGTAATCATCTATCAGTAAATTGGCTCTAGTCCCTTCAAAGGTCGATGAAAACAGGATTTACTGTATAGCATTCGATACAGATCTAAAAGCTCTATAATATGATATATTTGTTTCTTATTTCTGAATCGGTTCATTCCATCCGATAAGGTCCTTTAAATAGCAGGATACGAACATTTTGTAAGTCCTAAGTATGTTTCTCAGTCCAATTTTGTGCATCTATCTCTTTTCTATTTATTATTTAATTCTGAGTGCATTATAAAAGCGTGAAAAGAAACTTTAAATGATTGAAGAGAATGTCTAGTTCTGTTTTTTGCGTGCAATCACAATGTCAAGCAATACTTTCAAACATGAGTTTTAATGTTCTTCAAGTCGTATGGTTTTTTTTTGTTCTAGTGCATCCTTATCAGGCAACGACAGCACTATTCATTGCGTCTATGAGTTCGATACATCTCTTTTAATACTGAAATAATTTTATTCTTTGATGTTCCGTTTTTCGTAAGAATCTCGTTCCGAATAAGAGATGTTTATCCATAATAAATGTGCATTGAGATTTATTCTCCGGAGTGGATTTTTTTATCCGAAACTTCATTCAATGTTGTTATTTACAATTATTTGTTTGTTTTCGAATAGTTTCATTCGGTAGCTAGAAATTAGTCAGCACACACATATTACTCGATCAATATTCCGTGGTTTTGTTGCCTAATAAGATTTGTAGATGTTGTTTCAAGTTCATGAAGACAGGAAGAAAGCGTGGTACTTCTTTATCTGTTCTGCTTCTCTTTTTATGATCTGTTCAGTAATTGCTGCATTTGTATAATAGGGGTTCGTATTGACCTAGATTGGTGTTATTAGTTTCTCATTCTTTTAATGAGCAGTTACTATATTTTCTTTTAATATTTAGTATACCATGCTTTGAGTAATGTTACGTTTAGTATATTGAACATTTTCTCATGATGATTTAAGAGGCATCGAATGTTGCATAGCCGTGTGGCATTTTCCTTGTGAAAACCGACTTTTATCGACGGTTTGGTGAAAAATCGTTAGTTGAAACGATTAACTCTTTTTCCAGGCGTTTTCTGCAGATAATTTTAATAAAATCATTCTAACTATTTTCGAAAAGTTGATTTTTATTCAGAAAAACCAGTTTTATTATTGTACAATATATTATGTTATCATATATCACAAGAAGAATATGGCAGCAACAAATTAAAGAACTGTCACAGTAACAAATGAGATGAAAGTAAAACGATACTCTTTACAACATATTCTCTTAAAACTAGACAAAAAAATATTGAGAGAAGCAGAGATGTCTCTGCAAAAACCAAGAGAAGTGCAATTATAATAAACTCAGTGTATGAATCCAACAACAATCAGAAAACATTCAATAGCAACTCAATTATTTGCAACGACAAAATTGATACATGCATATTTATTTCAAATAGGAATAAGCATCTTGTAAGTTGAATTGAACGCTCAATAACTTCTTGTTCCAATGAATTTAAAAAGAATCGCACTTAGTCTCCTATTATCCGGAACATAACCATCCAACGTAAATCGAAAGTTAATCATCGTGCTTCGAAATTTTATTCGAACTTTCCTTATATAAATCCACTAAAGGAAGTTGTACTAATCTATAACCTAAAATTTAAAAACGGTTCAATCCATCGGTTATGCTGCATTCCTTGGATTGCGCAGACCAACAATATGTTTCTAGAATGACGTCAAACCATTTGAGCACTCGATGAAAAGACAATTTGCATTTCTCTCAATTCTTCTTTTAATATTTCTTGCTAGAACTGTTAAATAACCATGAAAAAAAATATGCATTGACATATCTTGAATATCATGAAAATGCTATCAAAATTTACCTGTCTTTTGTGTTTTGCGAATTTTACCTTTGCTTTTATTCATTTCTATCTATTCATTCATAAATAAAAATGACAACCATTGATAAACGAATTAATATTCATAAACATACCTTGAATATCATGAAAATGCTGTCAAAACATACCTGTCTTTTGTTCTTTAGAAATAAGCTCTTTGCTTCTATTCATTTCGGTCTTTTCATTCATACATACAATTGACAACGATTGAAAGACAACACAAATATCCATAAACACATTTTGAGTATCATCAAAATACTGTCAAAACATACGTGTTTTTTGTTGATTAGAAATTTTGTCTTTCTTTATATTAGTGTCCATAAAACTTGAAAAAATGAGCTTCAGAAAAGGAATTTGATTATCTATACTGCGCTTCAAGCAATACAACTGTTTTTCTGATAATAGAGGATGCATCGAAATCTTCATTGATGAACATAAAACTCACGAATGATGTTGAAAGTAATTGCTGTCGAGTTTTATTCTTAGTCGAAGCTAGCCGAGTATAGAAAAAAAAAGAATAGCAACATTTTTATTCAATACTTGAGGTTTTGGATGGTTTTGACAGTTTTCGATTGAAAATGATGAAAATATCCAATTCTTGCTTTAGAAGCATTTGTATAAATGTTTGGATAGAAAAAGGACGGTAACAGTGTAAAGTTACATAAGTACGAAGACTATGATATTGTTCACATTTTACAATTCATCATTTATCAACGTTTCCATTGTGCTAGAAGCAATTGGTATTGTAGAAATGTGTTGTTGACTTTTTCTTTCTCGAAAAATCTCAAAAGCAGAATTTCTATATGAATCGCGAGATCTTTGGATAGTTCATCGTGGAAGGTTATGAAAATCACTAAACGAAGTACATGAGAAGAAACGTTACATATTTGTTTTGTCAGTCGAAAATAGGATTGAATTCGGTGTTGAATTTAATAGGAATTGTTTTTAATATTTAACGTAAAACTTATCCCTAAGATTAAAACATTGAAATACTCCTCTAACTTCAGACGAAAAGCCTATTCGATTGGCTAGTATACAGTAGAGTTGAACGAGTTTCGTTTAAACGATTTCACGTTATCTTATTTTCAACCGGTCCGCTTTGAATGCTCGATTATTCCTTTTTAAGAAAAATTTCAGTTTTCTTGTTTTGAATATCGAGAAAAAAATCGATCGAGAATTCGTTGATCTTCCTAATTGAAGCAGGTTAACCGATTATTCTCAAGGATCTGCTGTTGGCTCTTGTTTGACTTATTCATAGAGAGTATTTGGCGTCACTGATAAAGGCTTCATGAAGGACAGTTCTTGAGCAATCTCTACAGTGCCTACTTTAACTGTGAGTCTAAGACGTATTCAAATGCTTTTTAACACCTCTGGTTTAGAATATTTATCAGTCGGATAATGTTTATTTTTCAAGAAGTTAGAGCATCATATAATTCTACCTAAAATATTTGAATAAATGATTGATTGATATTGAAATATCTTTATTTGGAATAATTTAAGTCAAATATGACCTAATCAAAGTGAATAAAAAAATCTCACACTATTCTCAAATATTTTCTTTCCGCTTTAAAATTATTGCTTACAAGATTTTCAGGCGAAAGACATTTATCTTAACAATGCAAGTCGATGGAAACAAACATCGTTATGGCGTCGTTTACGTTCAGAAAGGATGAAGATACGGTGTTCTTACAGCCATCTACTATGAAAAACCGTCCGTAGCAGCGCCATATTGCTTCTTTTTAACACGGGCAGTAATACGATCGTAAGTAGCCGTACCGTATACAATCTTTAACGATGTATTACAGTAGCCATATACCGATCGTTTTGTTGATTGTTGAGGACAGTAAACCAGCTATTTTTGTGCAGTTTCGTTCTAATCCCACTTCTTTTTACTGCAACATGCTAAAACTAATTTAAATCATAATTGAATAACTTTATTTAAAACAAATACCCAGGTAAAAGAAAGCGGTACGTATACAGCCGCATACGATTAGCATACGATATAAATACGGTACAAATACGGCGAGAATACGGTCGCAAATCATGGACCGAGATCACAATGCGATACGGTAGCAACACGGCCGTTTACGGTTCAATTACAGTAATTTACGGAGCTTCATTACCTTCCTCCTGCGTGCATATACAAATAAAACACAATAAAATTTGTAAAAATTTACAATAAAAAAATTTGTATTAATTAATTTGAAAACAAAAACATGAATTTCAATACAATACTAAGCAAACAAAAATTGAGAAAATAAAATAAAATAAATTACAATAAAATAAAAGTAATAAAAAGTAAGTTGCAACAGAATAAAAATAATGAAATAATCTACCGTAAACAGTAAAATAAATTATAAACAAAGGAAAGTAAATTCAAATAGAGTAAAAATATTGAAATAGTCTAGAGTGCAAAAAATGAAATAAAAATAAATTGTGAAAGAATGAGAATAAGAAAATAATCTACAATAATATAAAATTACAATAAAGTAAAAATGATAAATTAAATTGGAATAGAATAAATCCAAAAAAAAGCTGTAAATAAATTGTTGAAAAAATCAAATTATCATACATGTAAAATCTAATCTATACTTAATTTTGATGGAGTTCATACAATAGTACAATATAAAACGAAATAACTAAAATATAAAATCCACTTTTTTTCTTGAATCACATGTATATACTGATTAGTGTATTATACACATGAATATATAAAGTCTCAGAGAGAGGGCGCTATGATTTGAATGAAAAAGAATTAAATAAGAACGAAAACCGACAAAATAAATTAGAATAATAAAAATAAATGAACTGAAAACACCATAGAATTAAATAAATCAAATAAGAACAAAGTGACCGACATTAAAAAACAAATAAAATAAAATAAAATATAAAATTAATTAATCAAATTATAATGAATTTAATTAATCAAAGAAAAACTCAGGTAGAATTAAATAGGTGAACTTTGAAAAACAATGAATTAAACTCACTAAAGTAAAATTAAGTAAATATCTAAGTTTGTATTCGTATTGTTCAGCAGTGTGGATGAGTATTTTATGAGTTTTTTCAATGGTTTTCAATTTCTCCATAGAGTAGAAAAAGCATTAAAAAAATTACATAGTGGGAGGGTGTGAGTGTGAGTATTGGGGCTTTATCTTTGACATATACGCACACCAACACCCACATCCTTACCCCATTCTTCTACTACTTTAGCACCACAAACTCAAATGCATTCTGTAGGTTGCCCATCATTTGAACATTACTAGCTGAGATCAGTTTCTCAAACACTGTCTATACAAGATACAAGTCATACAAAGTCTCAAACAGCCATCACCCTATTCTCATCCTCCGCTTTGCATGAAGTCTTTCTCTTCAAAGTTCATCGCAGAGTACGTGTTCCTTCAACATTCCCTCTGCCGAACACGTCATTCTCCCATTTGTGTATTCTATTTTTCAAAAGTCTCACATAACGAACACAACCAGATACCAACCCATTTACACAACTGATAAATCACTAACAGATGATGATCCCTTTTCTCCTGTAGTTTTCAAATACACTGCACTCAAAGTAGACAGCAACCAATTACAAGTACCTATATTTTGATCACATCAAGATTCCTATCCAAGCTAGATACTTTCATGCAAACAGAAATGTGTCTACTAGATGAAGTGAAGAGCTAATAACAACACAGTCATTCATAGCTAACACTCGGATTGAAAATAATATATTTGTTGATAATTATCACCTCTAATAGAATCATCTTAATCTTTTCTTAGCTTCTTTTTATCGTTCACTTTGTAAACCACAGGTAAAACTCTTCAATGATTTCCTGCTCAGCATGGAAAGTAGCGATCTTCAGAATCATTCGCGAGGTGATATTTCAGAATGATTTTATGATCTTTTTCTCTCTCATTCAGTGACGTAATGATATGGGATTCCTTTTATGATCTATTGACGTCTAATGATAACAAATGAGTGGATCTATTTATTTATTTCCAAAACTAAAACTAGTAAAATGTGGCAGAAAAAAAGATGGAAGTGTCAATTTTTTAACGTCTCTTGGTCAGTGTTCACAATGGTTAATGATCTGGGCCATGATCATTAGCATCATGTTTTGGACCATGGTCATCACCACGACGAAGAAGGTGGTGCCCACCAGGCTGATGGTCTGGACCACGATCATCACCACGACGAAGAAGATGGTGTACACCAGGCTGATGGTCTGGACCACGATCATCACCACGACGAAGAAGATGGTGCCCACCAGGCTGATGATCTGGGCCACGATCATCACCACGACGAAGAAGATGGTGTACACCAGGCTGATGATCTGGGCCACGATCAGCCCCACGACGACGAAGATGGTGTACACCAGGTTGATGATCTGGACCCCGATCATCACCACGACNAATATAAACCAACATTTTAAATGGTAGATTTGACAGTATACTTTTGATATTCAGATAGTCTAGGATGATTGATTTGTATGATTCACTTTTTGAAGTACACATAACTCTCGGATTTAAATCCGAAGTTTCCGCATTTTTTTTTCAATAAGAACAGTAACTGATAATTTATCTATTGATATTAAGTAGTGTTCTTCAATAAATAAATATTCTTATCAGTTTATTCATTTTTATTAAAAATAAATAAAACGTAGATAGTAAAACATTTTTTTAATTCTTTTAGTTAATTCAAAATAAAGGACTATAAGTGAAAAAAAAGAAGTCATATCATGTTTTATTCTTATGTATTAAAAAACAATAAATTTCTCTGATATTCTTCGAAGTAGTTAAACAAAATAATAATAATGATAATTAATGATAGAGTAAGTATTTTAAAAGACACTAGAAAAGCATTTTATTTTATGACTAGAAATAAATATAGACTAAAAATAAATTATTTTTAATGATGTTTAGCAATTGAGTTTAACTTCGACATGGTCAATATTGTTTCAACAAAAAAAAAATCATTTAATAATTATAGTGTTGGCATCTTTTATAATAATTAGTCTATAACATTTTCTGTTTTTATGAAATCATTTAATATCTTTATCGAATTCTTGATATGCTGTTGATAAAGGTAAAATTGATTTTCCTATTCGTTTACCTAATGATGAAAAATATATTCAATGGATTTTTTTTACAATTAAATTATGTTTATATGAAATGCTTCCATTAGATCAAGAACGAAAAAGTAGTTTAGCTCTTATTCGAAAATTATTGTTAGAAGAAACTTGTCAAACATATATAGTTTTAGTTGATAATTTTCTTTCACCATCAGTATTAAATCAATCAAAAATAAATGAACAACAAGTGATTGCATCTATGAATACATTAGGAATAGATTCTGTTATATTTCTTAATCATAAATTTGATTTAAACGAAACAGAATTAATATCGAGAATAAATATAAAGTATTACCAATTGAGGAAATAAATATTCTTTTAATGGGTTTAATAATCGATATAGATAAACTATATCTTCGTATAATTAATCAAACATCATTTATTCCATTTGTTCAAAAATTTCTTAAATCAATATTAAAATATAAAATATGATATTTTAATTGCATTAACACATTTAGATTTGAGAATTGATATACAACTTGCAGAAAATATACTAGAGATTAATTTAATATAAGGTAGACATGAACATGAAGATTATTTTTTTATCACGAAGTTTTCAATATATTTCAATAACAAAAACTAATGCAAATGCATTTACTGTTTATATTCATCGATGTACTTTTAATTTTGATACAAAAAAATTTCGTGTTTATCAAGCATAAGCACAAATAAATTCACAAATAGAAGATAAATCAAAAACAGCTGAAATTGTTAATTATTGGTATAATTTTGATATAAAAGGTTTTGAATAAATCGGATTTCAACCTAATAAAACAGTATCTTGTTTACCAGCTAATATTGAATTAGATGGACGTTCAACATTAATAAGAAATTTTCCAACATTATTAACAGATTATGCAAATAATACAGGATCAATACGTATTGATGATACTCTTCAAAGAAGAATAACACAATATGATATATAACGTATATTTCATTTTCAAGTTAATCTTGTTTCTCTTTCTGTACTTGGTGAATAGCTTGCTAATGTATTAACTGTTGATATGTCAAGAAAAGTGAATAGAATGTTTCTTGCATATTGTGGAATTCAAAGTCTAGATCAACGAAAAACTTGATTAGTTGATGGTTTAGATATTTCAAAAACGAATCTTAATAATCCTCTGGATAAAATAAAAGATCTTAAAGATACAGAACTAAACAATTCATCTGTTACTATTATGCAACAATTCAATAAAACACAAATATAAAGTTTAATTGAGTATTTACAATGAATATATCTTCACCATGTTAATATCTATATGAACAAATTTTCGCATCAAATCTTTAATAATTATTAGTAAAACAGTTTCATTTTTTTTATCGGATTTAAAATATGAAATAAATAATAAAATATTTTTCTACTGTTACTAATTCATATACAGAATGTTGTTTTTTTTATCGATTTTTATCATTTTTAATAATTAGCTGTTATAAGAAATTAATTATCTAGGAAAAACAGACATCGTTTATATGTAAAGAAGATTCTTTCTCAATTATCTCATCAACTTAGAAAATCTTTATCAGATAAAATAACCTCAAAACAAATCTTTTTTTTTTTAGAATACTGGTAAATTAATTTTTTCTTCAGCTATGAAACATTCCTATTAGAATATTTATCATCTTAATTGTTGTTAGTTAATGAAAATAATGTCGAACATCTAATTGAAAAGAAAATATAGATTTATTTTTGCTATTTTCATGTAGGTGTTAATTCTATTTTTATATACGATTATTTTTACTTTTCTGCAATATGATATGAGACTTTAATTCGTAACCCGATCTATGCAATTCAAAAACAATTTTTTATTCCACATAATTATTTGATTTTGTCATTTTAATATAGATTATATGATTAAAATATTATTTGTATTCAATTCATATGTCATATCTATTAATCATATGTGATATAAACAACCAATTAACCAATAATGTTCTTCTTTTGCTTCTTATCCTATTTTTATTTAAATATATATTTTAAAATAAGTTTATCAAGCAAAGATCTCTAAGAAATTCTCATAGAAAATATATATTTGCTTTTATGTGTTAAAAAATTAGTGTTAGTATAGATTTAATTCTGAATGTGAATATAAATGTATCTGCCATTTTTAACTCATCATCTCAATTGAAATTATGAATAAATGAATATCTCATTACAATGAAGTATGTGTAAGTTTGCAGACAGAGACTTTCTTTATTTAATGTCATATGTTTTATTCATTTTTATTGCATATTGTTGTAATCTCAATAGAGAGTCAAACCTTAATTGTATTCTATTATTGCCATGAAGAAGATGGAATCTTATATTAAAATTTCGACTTTATGCATTAGAATTTCTTAATAGAGTGATCATAATAGCTGCCGAATATGTATGATCGTGAGATACAATGTTCTCTTTCGAACTTTTATATCATGTTTCAGTATTTTCCTTTCTTATTAGAAGCTATTAAAAATGCTTTCTAGATTTTAGTCATAAATATTTTTTCCTATATTAGATATTCTAGTTTTCTTCTGACACTAAGGTAATACACATCGATCTCTATAATCAATTCAATAATGTCTACTGTAATTGCATCGATAGCTTCTAGGTCAAGTAGCACTGCTTGTGTATAAATTCGTTATAGGATACCAACGGTGAAACAATGACTGAAATTATTGATTTGTAAGGTAAATCGATTCAATGCACTATGAAATATTTATCTTGATACAACAACTAATATTTTTCATATTGTCGACTCTCAATTTTTATATTGAGAATTCGCTTCCAAGAGTAGTTAATACTATAATTCTTATTATTTTGACAAATCGAATTCAACAATTCATTCTATATAAGTTGGTAAAGAAACATTGCACATATATATATATATGCTGTGTTTATAATAAGACTAATTCCAATATGATCGTATTTTAATTCTAGTTTATATAATAATACGAATAAATTTTCTTGTGATGAAATATAATTTTCATAATATAAAAAAAAACAAATACTTTCTTCATACAATTCGATTATTTAACTAATATATTTTATATATAATAATTAGTATTCAGGTTCAAAAACCAGTTTTAAGAAAATGACTTATTATTCACTTAGTTGTTTTTTTTTAAATTGTAGAATAAAGTTATCGAAGATGAAATATTATTTATTTAATTTCTGTATATTGAACTGTTTGATAAATTGTTCAAGTTTTCTGTAAAGATTATTTTTATTAAATGATGTTCTCTGAAAAACTTAATTGAGAACGGCTAATATGTAAGTATGAATCCATTATCAAATTGAAATTATTTATTTTATTTATTGATTAATGTTCTACTCGATTAACTTAAGAATCAATAAATTAAAGTAAATCTTTATTTATCTATTTTATAATAAATAAATATATTTTATGATTCTCTAAATGTTTTCAAAATGAAAAATTCATTTATCGATCATGTAAACAATTAAAAATCTTTTTTTAAAAATAATCTCAAGCATAAATTCAACAATGTATTGTTATATTTTAAGTGTTTTATTTTTAAATTTAAAAAAATAATTAGTTGATATTAACAATAATTGTCAAGTAATCGAACGAAAATATTCAACTATAAGTAAAAAACAAATATTTTATTTTTATTTAATAAATTTTAGTCGATTTAATTATATCAACAAAATATGCACAGTTATTATTAATATTCTACAAATTCTTTTATGATTTTATTTCGAGCTTAAATTTAAAAAATTAATATGTAATATAAATATAGAGAAAGGACGAGGACACGTTACTTCACAAGTAACATTAATACAAATAAAATATCGTTTTCTACTTAAAAAAAATTGTTTTAAAACTTTTTGAAACTATTAAAATTTAATAATAATATTTGTTGTATATACATCTAATTATTTTTTGACAAAAACATTTTAACATGAGATTTAACCATTTAAACGAAATGATTTAAGTATTGCTTTTTATTACGTTATCAGAGTTAGTTTTCATCATGATTTTCAATCAATGTTATCGCTGATCAGGGCTAACTATTTGATATAGAGAGTCACTATAGATTTGTTTGGCAAAAGTTTCTTTTGAAAAAAATTATCTTTCTAGATATGTTTCATCTAACAATTGAACAAGATTCTACGTACAAGAGGTTAAAACGATAATAAATAATCTAATTCTCTTCAATTCATTTCGTATTGATTGCCATAGATATTTTCTTTGATATTTAACAATTGATTTCAATGAATAGAAAGACTTTTCTATTTAATGTTTTGCACAGACTATTTCTGGCAATATGAAATTAACGAGATTAACAGTTATTCAATTATGTAAGTGCGAAAGTCAAAAAAAAATGATAACATACGAAGTTTTTAAACAGTCACTCTAGCAAAGTTTGAAATATGCTCGAATATCTCTAAGTAAAATTCTCTAATTGTCGCTTTTAAATTTCAAACTTGATAAATACTTGAAAATTTTCAATCAACATATGCACAATCTTATTCAGAATTAAATTCAACATCGAATGATACGAAAATCAATATTTCATTGGAGAAGTTTCATTTATGAAAAGATTATTTTTGTTTTGGAATGTATTATTCGAACTATTCGATGATTGTAAATATAAATGAACGATGTACAATGTTAATCTTTTAGAATCAATTCTGATCAACACAGATTCACACAAATTTCTTTGTTTTCTATCTTAAGAAAAATAAATAATTGTATTTTGACACGTAAATAGATATTAATTAGTATAAAAAAATCTGCTCGGAAGATTAAATTGATGGTTTTATTTAAAATAAAATATTCTATCAAATGAGATGAACACTAGAATTTGAAGATATTATTTAAGTGTCTTTGGCATAAAAAATAAAAATTAGCCATTTATTATGGAACAAACATTAATTTCTATCGATCTTTTTTTAATAGAAATACAAATATGTTCTTTAATTATTTGTCGTTTACATAAATTCAGTTTCGAAATAAAAACATTTATTCATGATTGTTCAGAGAGATGTCTTTTTTAATCAATATTTAAAAACGATTTTCAATGTATATATATCGAATATGAAGATATATTTGATATCTATAAAATAGTACAAATAATTGATCTTTGTCTATAAAAATGATTGTTTGAAGTAGAATAAACCGAATAATGTATAAAATATTTCATATGTTATTTCCGAGGATAAATTTGAATTTTTCGATAATCAACAAAACATATCCAACAAAATGGATCTTTACATATTGTACATTTCATATGATCACATCCAGAAATTTTTTCAATATATGCATGACATAATGGACATTTTTTTTTTGCATTTTTTTCTAATTCATATTTGTGTATTATAATCAATAGATGATATATATTCATTTGATCATATTCTTGACATGTCTCATTCCAATATGCTATTTAACATGATGATAATCATGTGTTTGTTTTTGATATTTAATACAAGTATAACTATTGGATTTGAATATATATCTATATAATGTAATTGTGCTGAACCACATCCATTATGTACACATCAAACAAAATCTTGAATTTGTTCAAGATATTTATGTGTTAATTGTCGATCATATCGTTCAAATAATTCTAAATTATTTCCCATACGAAGAATATAATGAATACTTTCAAAAGTAAATATAGTCATATAATCAGGTTAAGGACAAACTATATTAGGATTTATCGTATTTTCAACAAGACATTTTATATTATTACAAATACATGTATCACATACTGTTATTTGACAATGTTTACATTGATTACTATAAGATCCTTGAAAAAAATAAATTGGTTGATCTAATAAACAAAGTAACACATTCACGAGTTAATTCAGCAGAATTTCTAGAATTATTTCATTAGATAAGAAGAATTTAATGTTATTGTTTACAATATCATACTCAATTAAGTTTGATGTTTGTCTTCGTCGAGAATTTATTCTTTGGAAGGATCTATTCGTCGAATTATTGATATTATCTGTCGTTGCATATTGACTTGATATTCTTTTTGTTTGAGAATTTTTATATGGAACTAGATAAATAGATTAATTTATTTAGAGAATATTCTCTTGATTATAAGTTTACTTGAAGAACTACGTAAATCAATAGATATATTTGTTCCTTGATTTATTTCTGTATTATTAGTAGTCGATGGCATATTTGAAGATATTCTATAACTTATTTTCATCGGTAATTTATCTAAATAATAGACTGAATAAAAAATAGAAAGAATTATATGAATAAATACTGACAATGATGTTTAGTTGTTTGACATGTACGAATATGTTTATTAGAATAATCTGTTTTATTAACATAAGATATTCCTTCATGTTGGATAGGTTGTTGACTAGGAGGCAATTCACTATTTAATTGATCACTAATGTCGGCGCCAGAAATAGATGGAGAAAACTCAAGGAGGAATATCTTCTGAACGGATGTAGCTAGCGACCTGCGATTTTCACCATTAGAAAGAAAACGCCCAGGGGCATCCGCACATGGTAAAATATAATTGGTCAGCAATGGACCAATCAGATACATTCTCGATGGAAATGTTGAGCACGGTATTCTGGAGCTGTTTCTCAACTTTGCTCGATTGTTAATTTACGTTTTAGATAGAAAAAAGTGTTCTCTATCGATTTACGAAAAGCCTGCCTTTCTAGCTTGTTCCGTTCAAGAGTTATAAGAGTTTTCCTGAGACCCCTGATTTCAGCCAATTGACCTTGGATCACCTGGGNCCGGAATAGGTAGGAGTGACCCGGAATAGGCAGGAATGATCCGGAATTCCTGCATATCCCAATGATTACGGTTGTGCACAAATTCCGGAATTCCGCTTTCCATTTCTTGAAGCTCGAGAAATGATCATTTAGCCATCCATGGCATGTTTGTATTTGCGGAATAAGCAGGAATGACCCGGAATAGGCAGGAATGACCCGGAATAGGCAGGAATGACCCGGAATTCCTGCATATCCCAATGATTACCGTTGTGCACAAATTCCGGAATTCCGCTTTGCATTTCTTGAAGCTCGAGAAATGATCATTTAGCCATCCATGGCATGTTTGTAATTGCGGAATAGGCAGGAATAACCAGGAATGACCCGGAATAGCCAGGAATGACCCGGAATTCCTGCATATCCCAATGATTACGGTTGTGCACAAATTCCGGAATAGGCAGCAATGACCCAGAATTCCTGCGTGTCCTAGTGATTCCGCATATGCAGAAATTCCGGAATTCCGGGTTGTTGCATTTTTTTTTAGGGAAAGGGTCGTTTTTGCTTTTCCGGAATTGATGGTAAGGGATTGCATGTCAGAAGGCGATGCAGGAATGTGTAAATTTTGGGAATAGGAAGTATTCTCTGAAGAAATGATGCTGCTTGATCAGATTCATTTTGGATTGATACTTTAATGTCCGAGTTGAGCTGATCATGAGTGTGTGCGAAGAGAAATCACTCACAAATGCCCACATATACACCCACATCCTCTCATCGCAAAACATGTATGAAAATCAGACTAGCCAGTTCTCTTCCTTCTACGAACTTCTGTTGACCGAAAGCCTTGTCATTACTTCTATAAAAGCACAGAATTATGCATTCTTCTTATGAGGTTTCTTCTCTAAGATATGATATCACCTGATAATTTATCTGTGTCACCTTTGTTTATAATGATAACAATAGAATGATAATTCAAGAAATAAAAACAGAATAGGTAGGCATAAGTAAAAGAAAGTTTTCTTATTTTTCATATTCATCGTCGAGTGTGCGAAGGTTTGAAACATTTCATCTCCCAGCTAAGAATCCATTATTATTAAATTAGCAATTACAACAGGTAACAAAGAATGCAGAAATGTTCATCTTCAGTGATTAGCTTCAAGTTTGAAGCATTGTGCTTGACCTTATAAACAGTAAAATTTAATTCGCCGCGATCAACAAAAAGGCATTATATCAATCTGCGACGTAGCCATTATTTTAAAGACGATAGAAATGCGTCAAACCAAATTAATTGAGCTTGAATATTTTTCAAACGATTCTGTGTGCACTATAGTCAACTGAGACATGCCACAAACATATTTCGGTTGTACAGTATTGAGTCTTGTCAAGTGATGAAGTCTAATGAAGACGGTCGGATTAAATTAAATAATTCTTCGATTAATTTATATTTTAATTTAGACCTGTCACAGACCGTGACGAGTATTTCGATATGCTGCCTCTTGGATCTTTTTGTGGATCGTAACCAACATAGCAAGCATCTTCATATACGATCTAAATGGTTCCGTCGTATTTCGCATTTGAATCCTGGAGAGATTACGTTGAAAGCTTTTTCGTACATGTTAGAGAAAAATAGTTGCCATGCCGTATGTCTCACTTGATTATAGTGCAGACAGAATCGATCGAAAAGTTTTCAAGCTTATCGAATCCAAGCCTGAAGTTTGAAATTAAACTTGAAAATGTTAGACTTGGTATATCTATATGAAGAGCCGTGGGCTGAGAATGAGAAATCGTCTAGAGATATTTGCGCTACTGCATGATTACTAGAAATAATAATTTTCTTTTCATTTCTATCACGTTTAGAAACATAATAATGATCACAAATTTCATTGTCGTCATTATTCTTTTGGTTACTATGACCAGCATCATCACATGTCGCAAAGTGACGATCAGTAATGTCATTCCTCGCCGAGATACAAAAGACAATATAATGGATGCTCATGATGGCAATGTCTTTCTGCATGAGGGTCTCTACTACTATTATGGTGCAAGTTATGGTCTATGCAAAGAACCACCGGGTCCATCAGGTTGCACCGTATGGCATCCAGGTGGATGCGGTTTCCAACTCAATCATAATGTTAGTCTGTATACATCAACGGATCTTTCTGAGTGGACATTTCGTGGATATGTTTTTCAAATGTCTTCAATGAAGACTCAAGGAATAATGTTTGGCCCTCGCGTTTTACCAAATCCAAAGACAAATAAGTGGGTTATGTGGTTTAATTTTCTGCCAGCTACAGGTACAGGTGTCTCTCAGTCACAGTGTGCTGTTGCTATATCAGATGCACCACAAGGTCCCTTTCAATTAGTCACTGAAAAAGTTACTACTCTAGCATGGGAAAATACAGGAGATTTGAATCTTTTTCAAGATGATAGCGGAGATGCTTATATCATTTATAATTCGCATATTGATGGCAGTATTTACAAGCCGGACCACTTAATGTCTGTGGAGAAGCTGTCTGATGACTATCTCAGTTCATTAGGTAGAAAATTTAACAGTGGATACTTTGGTGAAACCTTTGTCGAAGGTGGTGCAATGTTTAAACGCAATGGAACCTACTATGCACTATTCGGCCAATGCTGTTGTTATTGTGCAGAAGGTGCTTCTGTCACTGTATATACTTCGTCGTCCCCTCTTGGTCCTTTCAAAACAATGAATAATCTAGGGAATGAAGGTCATGCTCAACTATATAATGTCTTACAGTTTAAAACTACTGGAGACGAAGTTTATGGATATTTGTGGCAAGGTAATAAGTGGCAAAGTGCTCCAGATGGTGCCAAAGGACATGATTTTACCTACTGGTCGCCTCTGTCTTTTGATCGATATGGCAAAGTACAGTATATGAACTATACTGCTAGTTTTACTATTGATGTAATTCCCAATATTCATTAAAATCTGCTTTGATCTTATGATTTGTACCAGGAGTATTCAAACGGTTTTAAAATTGATCATTGTCGTGTTCAACAAAAGCAAACTCAATGCATGTTTGAGAGATTGTTGGACATAGCCAGTACTAAATAATGGCAAAGTTTGAGCTCTATAGCTTTCACTATTGATGAGAAACTGAAAGTCAAGCTGTCGTCTACTATTTCAGAAAATTTTCCCTACAGCTAAAACTTGACATAAAAAAGACAGAAAAGTTGTGGATTCAAGGCTTCTTTAAGTAACATGTATCTAAACAGAAAAATTTTCTTTCAACAACCTTTGTTTCTTGCTGCATGTGTCGATCAGATAGATATGTAAAATTCAGTATTAGTCCATTCTGATTGAATGAATCAAAAGTGTCATCCATCATGGGAGACGAAAGACATTACTAAATTGCTTCTTCAATCCGAAAATCCACATTTTTGTACAACTACGAATACTTTGAGGCTTCAAGTTTGAAGAATTTGAAAGAGAATAAGATAAATCATTTACCGAGATCAGATGTAACTCGTACTAAAACAGAATTCGAATCTATTAAATTCGTAAAAAAAATGTCAACGCAAAACTTCAACAAAAAGGCTACAAGACATCAAAGAGTTCGATTTGATGATTACAAACATTGTTAAAATTAAAATGCAAAAATATCGGTATAAACAAGGAAATAAACTGTATCAGCGGATTAATGTTTTTTATATTAATTTTTCAGAATAATCAATATAAATGAAAGCGTTTATGCCGAATCGATTTCGGACATTTCTTTTGGATTACAAACAAAATCAAACGAAAAATCTCAAAAACGGGTTATGTTGTGGGATGGTATTTCTTATCAAGGATTATTTCCCAAACAGTCTCCAATTTTTCTCAATGAATTGTTCGAGATGATCAGGCCATAATGCGGTGATCGTCGTAAACAAGTATATTTTACTAGTGATAGATATGTCAAATTTATTCAAATTGTTGTAGCAGAAAACACTGCCAACGAGTTAGATGACTTACGCAGTATCATATTTCAAGAAGGCCAATATCGTAAATAGAGAATTCAGATAATCCTGGATGCTGCTAAACATATTTTTGTCAATCGAATTGAACCAATGAATTGTGCTGCAAAATTAGCAGACTTTTGGCCTATTGAACACGCCTGGGGGATGTTGAAAGAGAAATCACGAGGACAAGAATACAGTAATATTGAACAATTGAAAAAGGATATTGAAAAGAAATGAGTCAAATTTAGTTTCTTTTTTGTCAAAAGATGATAGATAAAATACTAGTACGATTAACACGACTTATCGATTCAAGTGGTAATTAAATACACGAACATGTATAGTTTGATTTGTTGTTTTATCTTTAAAAGTTGTATTATTTTTTCCATTAATAATCAACATGATCAGAGCATTTTCAGAAATAGTATATAACAGTGTTGTTTCAGTTTCTTATCTATAATGAAAGCCAGAAAGCTCAAACTCTGCAATTATTTAGTACTGATTATGTTCAACAATTTGTCAAAGTTTCATAGTTTGCTTTTGTTGAACGCGAGAACAATCAATTCTAAAATCGTTTCAGAACATATGGAACATTCTTTATTGTCGAAGATGCGTATTGTTCATCGATGATACAGTTTCGTTCATGATGAAGAGTACGACAAGATTGAAACCGAATGAAACATATATGAATGGGTTTGATGAACATGATGAGATTATTCATACATAGTGGATCAATAAAAATCCCTCATTTGTATATGTGTAATTTGTGTGAGGGATTTACTTTTTCTTTAATGTTTCGTAACTAAGAATTAAGATTAAGAAAAGTCAGCTAGAAAATACCATTTCTTGTATTTTTGAATCTCTCTCTCTCTCGCGTGAAGAAATCATCTAAAGTAAGATAAGCATGTCATCATCTTTTACAGGCTTTGATCGACTTAGTCCGATAATTGAGTATCTCTGAATTGTTATAGTTTTGTAAAAAAGACAAAAGATTTAGCTTTGAAAATCAGAGTCAATAGTATTGTATATAGAACATTGAATTGTGCATAAAAGAAACTGAAAACTATGTTTCAAGGCAATTTTGAAGTGTATCACTAATAAGAAAAAAAACAAGAGAAGTGTGTCTAAGTCAATCCTTAGAGACGGTGCAAAAGCTTTTCGGTAGGAAGTAATATGCAGCGCAAACATATGTTTCTAGTAAACTATTTTGTATGAAGTTTTTCATTGTTGGATAAAAGTTGATTAATCACTCGTTCAAATGGTTTTTCGACGAGAACGAACCAAACTATCGCTAGAATTAGACATATTATGAGCACTAATACAAGACATATCGGTGTTAAACTATCAATTGAAGATTGCTTAAGATCGAATAGATTGGTATTGGACATGATAAGCTCGAATGCAATTCGAAAATGAAGGATATATATAAGGTAACTTAATTTTGCAATTGGTGTCCAGATAGAAAGTGATAAAAATGATCTGATCCATGAACTGTGATAGGGATGAGTAGATGGACAAAGAGCAGAAAATAGAATGAATGCTTGTGATGTTGAAAATAATTGTCGAGTAATTGACCACACGACTGTAAGTAGTACATGGTTGACTTCAGCCGGTTCAACTGGCGTCGTTAATATGAGCATATACAGCCAAATCAATGTAAAATATAGATATTTTTTCATCTTTCCATAATAAGTAACATTCGAGCTGTTGGCATTCATCAAATTCAATGCTAAGACTGATCCGATGATAAAACTTGAATACCGACTTATGACAGGCAGATACATCTTTTCCATGAATGGTTTTATTGGACTTGGTACACCTGGTCGTTCAAATGCCAATGTAACATTATAATCAGTTATAATCCAATCGAAAATTCGTTGTGGCATCAATAATGCCATTGAATTATAGCGATAGACTAACGTCGGCAAATCCATTGTTTGTGGATTGAAAACAAACAGTGAATATACAATTGACAAAATAATGAGCATATATAATGCTGAATAAGTTTTTTGGTAATTTGACGTGGAACTAACAATCATATACAGAACGACGGGTAAAAGTATATGCATTTGCATATCCAGACTGATACTCCAAAGAGAAGCAAAGCCAATTGACCACTGTTCCATATCAACATAATTTTGATAAAATAACCAAAGATTCATCCAATTACCTTTTGGTTCACCAAGTAGTAGCATAACAATAGTAATTAATAAAATACCTGGCCAAAAACGGCATGCCCGTCTAAATATATAAATTGAGTATCCTTTCCAAGTTAAGAAATAATTCTGTTCAATACATTTTAGTGTTAAAAGAAACCCGGATAGCATAAAAAAGGTTTCCAATGATAATGACAATAATGTTGACAATCGAAATGAATAGCTTTTTAAGTAAGTCATCCATTCATGAGTTGGATAAGGTGTAATAAATGAATTTAAAAAGGTGATTATATGAAGTACAATGATCATTAAACACGAAATTGATCGTAGTCCATCAATTGGAGCATGTGTATTATGTTGAAACAATGAATATAAGTCGTCCTTCAATTGCCATGTGTCCTCCATGTTGAGAAAATGCGCAACAACAGCAACATGCAACGAAAACTTACTATTCAGGGACAAAGAAAGAAAAGAAAGAAATGATTCATTCTGCCAATAATATGCAGAAAGAAAAACAACGAAACTCGTCAAAAGTAGCAAGTCAACGTATATATACGTATAAAGAATCTATTAAATTCTTTCTCGATAAACTTGCGAAGTCTATTTTTTTCTTTAGGAATATATGCCTCGTTGTTCATAAGATCACTGTTTCGATAGTTATTTTTTTCTCGAAATACCTTGTCACGCTAAAATGCTATTTTCTACCATGCCACCTCAAAAACAGATTTTTGCTATATTAAGATTTATGAAAGATTTTTAACAGAAAGTTCATATTATCTAAATATTTTCTCTAAAAATAGACCGACGAACTTGTCTTAGTTTGCAGAAAAAAACAACAAAATTTCTTCAAAAAGACTCACTTTGACACTAAATGTGTCACGCGACATTTTCATTTTTGCAGAGCTTATATCTCAAAAACTTCCAAACCATTCTGCTTAAATTTAACACATTTTTTCTCTCTCGATGAACTCTGTGTGCAGTCTAAAAATGAGCTCGATATCATTTATTTTTGCGAAGATAGTCGTAAAAAGACATCCAAAATGTCGCCATACCTTGCAACAAAGTTTTCCTCGCCCTAAAGGTTATCGAGAAACTTAGAAATATGTTATAAAAACAGAATACACCTACCATTTGCTTTATATGAAAAATCTATATAGATTTGTTTTGTTTGAGAGAAGAAATCAACGAAAATTCATACAAATCCTTTTCTGTAGTAGGTATCGTTCCACTTTCTAACCTTGTATACATCATATTTCAGAAAAATAGAAGCCAAAAACTCACTGAATCGAACTCGAGTCATTCTTGGAAAAACAATATCGAATTGAACCAAATCCAAACTAATTTTCGAAAACCGAGTGAATCTAGACAAACGCATTAGAAAAATCATTGATTTGAGGTATCAACTTTTTTGCAGGATTGTGATGCTCTAGGCAATGCTCAAACAATGTTTGATCGCTTGTTTTATATCAGAAACCAAAAATGAACCGAACCCAACTCGAATTAGTAAAACTCGGTTCGATTTCGCCTCAGACAAAAATATTGAATAATCCTATTCATGGATTTTATCGATCGTACTAATATATTCCAAATGCCATCCGTTTATTTAGGAAGTGTTCACATCGAGTATGCAGCACATCTGTGAATATTACTTCTCTCTTGTAACTTTTATTTGCGATATCATTCATCTTGAAAGACTACGATACGATCCTCAACCATTATTGATTGCTTGACTCTTAACTATTTGTCACAATGATAATTTTATATCAAGAAAAATTTTATTAGTTCATTAGTATATCGGTTGAACCCCTTTTGTTTTTGTTTATTCAGTATTCAATAGAAATATCAAAAACAATTCAATTCCTATTTTCCAATAAATTTTATGACTGTTTACAAATGAGTGATAGGCAAAAACTGTACGACTATATTATGATACTGTCAACATATGACCATTATAGGGCAATTAACTCTATTTGCATTGACTGCGACCGTGTCTCTGACATTGGTTAAGTGAAGTGAAAACAAGGGTTGGATATCTTTCCTAGCATTCTGTCGACAACGATTGAGAATAAAACACGAAGTAAAGTTCTGATTGTGATAAATGCATCGAGTTGATTCCATCGTCTCCGACACTCTGACTCAAGATGTATGCTGGTTTTTCACCACATGTCAATATTTGTGATTACCTTCACGCAATTTGTTATGCTCCACATGTGACGAGCTCGCCGGCTAATCTCGCTACGTCTTACTGTTCCTAGATGTGTTCGAACCTATGCCTTTCTTTCATCGTACTAGACAGTAGGTTTGCGCGCGACTTACTAACTCAACTATTTACTCATAAACACTATTCTCTAGGATGAAGAATCTAAATATTATCCGAATTTAATTAATTTTTACAGGAAAGGACAAAAAAAAAGAATTGAAAAAACTGGATACTTGAAGTGATAAGTATGTTACACTTTTGTCTGTTCTGTCTTGTAATTTCTTTAGATTATTTTTCTGTTTGTTGTTTTGAATCAGTCTATGATCAAACTGAAAAGAAAATATTTTTCACTCCCATTACTTTTCTTTTTCTCCATCGGTTGGTAGAAGGTATTTTTCAACATTCATGAAGAATGCAGAATAAAATTGCGTAAAACTAAATTATTGACATATCGTCAATGTCGAATTTTCTGTACGTACATATGTTAGCTAACGAAAAGTTCGATCGATTTCTTAATTAATCTATTGATGACCGATGAATTACATTTTCGACCGATAACTATGAACAATAAAAATGATCAATCATGCACACGTTTTGCTCTTCTATAATTTTCTTCTAGTTTATTGCTCTTCAGTGAAAATCAACAGTGTGCAGATCTATTTGTAAAATAAAATGCCATGTATTTTTCAATCAGTTTCCTTACTGTGCAGAAGGATTTGTTATCAGTTTTTTCTAATTTTTCAGAATTGGTTTCTTCGACAGATCTGTAGTTCTGTTGCGACAACCATAAGCAACATTTTCTTACCAGATTCAAGTGCTGTTATGCGCACACGATGGTGTCCCAATTTTTCATTTGCTGTTCTTCTCTTATGTTTAATTCTAACGATGTCAAACAGTAACTTAACGAAAATGTGAATCGCAAAAAAATGAAAGTAGCACGTGGTAACCTTGAGTGACTGGTTTTTAATTCATCTTTAACAGTATTCTGTCTTAGATAAGATAAGGACAAGTGAAAGAAAAAAATCATTCTTCTTTAATTGTTTCGTTTGTTACGCGCACTTATTCTATTTGTGAAAGTTGCTTGGAGTTGACGATGGTCAGCGATATTACTGCAGATATCTATTTTTTTAGTCACACAATTGGCGGCTCTCCTCCATGGCTCGATGGAACTCCTACTTTGGATTGGATAGCGTCAAATTTCGTGAGCATACCGACTCATGTTACTATTCATGGTTTGCGAGACAAAGAGAATACTGCCGATCTCGATCCTCATGGCTTTGAAATACTCAAATATAATAGTAATATACACGATGAATCTGACGACGACAGCGAAATGCAACGACAATACTATGAAGACATCGTTGCTCTGCTTAAAAAACGTCTCGATGCTTCCCGTGTGATTATCTTCAATCACATATTTCGCTTTCGACCTACCCCACGTGCTGCCGATCTATGTGATCAGACCCACAAGAATCCTATTTTTGTGAAACACGACCTGAAAGGAGTGTTGAAGCGTTTAGGGTAGAAATTTTGCACCTCCCCCACCCCTCCCCCAAATCGTTACCGACAGGGAAATTAACCATTACAGAAAGGTACAAACAAGTAATTACCCCGGCACAAACCGTTACCCACAGGTAATTCCCCCGTCACAGACCGTTACAGACAGGTAATTTCTCCGTCACAAACCGTTACCAACAGGCATTTGAGACTTAAGATTGTGTTCTATTTAAATAATTTAAATTAAAAAAAAAAACTAAATTGAATTTAACAGTTTTTGAATTTTGAGTTCATGTTAGCAAATGAGAAAACACCACGTTCACATGTATCTAGTATATGTTAACTAATATATGAGAAAACATTTCACAAGCAGTAGGATTCCTTGATAATCTTGATATTTTATTTGATATCGAAAGTCAACGAAAACTAAATATTTATTTCAATATAAATAAACTGAGTTTCCTTGCAGAAATTATGTGATCATTCTCGTGATATTCTTGCATCTTATGTGAGTTTTAATTATTCTCATACAATAATTCTACTTGATGAGGATGTTTTCTTGAACATATTCATCAATTTGACGAATAATTGCAGATATCTATGAAAATCTTGAGTATTTTATCTTCAAGAATCGTACAATGTGTGAGTGAATATGTTCCTGGACTAGTAAAATTTATTGAACACGATTTGAGGCCATTTACAAAAGACGTCCACATACAAATCATACTTTTGACTTTCTTCGGCCAAATATTTGCAGTTTCATCGATCTCTTCCCCTCATAGGCATCTTATAGAACTAATCAGATCTGGAATCAACCCGACGGGCTTTAATGCTCAACATAAAAAAAAACTTTCAGGAAAAGCCTTCTTGTTCAAATATACTGCTCCTTTTTTAGTAAATAGCATTTCCTTAAATAAATATATCAAAGGTACAATGGAGACCTCGCCTGCTCTCACATCTTCACTTGGACCCATACATTTTTGTCCCGCTGTTACTCAGTATTTCAAAGAAGAAGATTCGACAACAATGTTCAGCGGAAGCCTATCATCTGGACTAGACAGACTATCTTTCTACAAGAGCATAAAAGTTGTGATAATATTATTGCACATGTTATTAAACAATGTAGTATACGTTTGAGATACATCTTTTTTTGTAAAGAAGAAAATCTCATCTCAAAATGCATTATGCATAGCGTCGACAAGTAGAACTAAAACATGCTTTGGTAAATTTGTCTAATGGCCAGAACCGGCAATGATTGAAAAAGTGAACATACAACCTCTACGTAGCATTTATTTGGGAATGAAGCTTAAAGTGATGATGATATATTAAATAATTTTTTTAATGAAACTGTTCGTGTACAATCAATGGAGAACAATACTTGATGAGTTACACTGTAGGGAGTTACTCAGAAAGAGTTTTGTACGATAGGATTACACAATAGACTCGAATTCTATTGCGCAACCGATATGTGGCAACGTATCGGCAGTAATGCGTCCATCTTCTTTGCAATGGCTTATTCCACCCTGTGTGAGTGCGGCTTCGACTTTTTCCAGTGAGTCAGTGCCGAACACCAGTTTGTACATTCCCGATGGCTTGTCACTCTCAGTGGTCAGTGTAATTTCGAAGTTTGGCAAGTGAATGATGCAACCGTTTGCTTCAGTATCTTCAAGTTTAGTTATATCAATTGCACGCACGTATATCTGTGCTG